AAAAAAAAAAAAAAAAAAAAAAAAAAAAAAAAAAAAAGAAAAAAAAAAAGTGGAGAATGTTTATGGATATTTATTTTAGGTGGAGATTTAAACATGCGATCTTAAGAGGAAGTGTAGATGCCTTAACCATTGGACTAGACTCATGAACATTGATATTATATATTTTAAAATGGTTGATGGTGCATTTTAAAGTTTCTTAGTGAGTTAACATCAAGCCCCTTATCTTCCTAGAATCAAACATGATCTCCTGATAATCAGTAACCAACCATAAACCTGGGTCTGTTCTCAATCAACAGTCGAAAACCAAGAGATTTTAACACCACACCACTGAACTTATCAGAATCCATGAACTATTCTTCTTGCTCCAAAATAATTGACAAGCTCTCTAAGGGTTCCTTAGCAGGCTAAGAAACATGTAAGAGAACTGTTGGTTTTGACAAAGAAGATTTGTTCTTTTTTAAAAAAGAAAAAAAAAAAAAAATAGGAAAAACCTTTCAGGGATGACATTTTCTTGGCAATAAAGCGTCTGGTATTTTAAGGTGTAAATCGGATGAGCATGTGGGAGGAATCCTCAAACAGAACTGGATAGCCATTGAAATTTAATTGCAGTGTTCCAAGAATTTTTTCCATAATTTTGTAGAAAGTTGGTTCGATGGTGTTTCATGGCCTTCCATGAAAACTGGTTCATAACTTAATTATATCCTCAACTCAAGCATAAACGGAGACTGCATAAGTCTGATCCCTAAAACCCTCATAGCTGGTGATATAGCACATTCCAGGCCCACCAGGCACCGGTACTCATAGGATAAAATTCATCTTGCCTAAAACTACTATATTCGAGAACCAGGTAGTATTTAGCAAGACCAAGCAAATTGTGTATTCCGGTGATAGTTTAGTCGATTAATTGGTGGCTGATCAGAAGAGAGCCAAGAAGAAATGTTGGTCTTCAAGATAGATTTAGAGAAGACACAAAACATGGTGGATTAGGAATTTCTCATGGCAGTATAAAAAATAAGAGGTTTAGGAAAAAGTATGGATTCATTGGATCTTCGAGTGCATCTCAAATACTAGACTCTCAAATCTTAGATAAAGTGTGAACCACCATTATGTCGCTCAAAGAGGATAGGTTGAAGCCACAGTGGTCATCTACCTAAGATTTAATATTTTACAAGTTTTATTGGGTGCACCTCAAATACTAAACTCTCAAATATAATATGCTGAGACGTCATTTCTTTTTTTTTTTTTTTTTTTCCCTTTCTTCATGTTAACATAGAACAAATATCTTTCCTAGCAACTTGCTTTCTTCTGTATAGGCTAGTGGAAGGGCCTTTCTATAAAACGTCTTGTCTTCTGGATCTGTCTTCTACTTGTTTACATCAATAAAATCATTTCTGATCATTTTTTATTAAAAAAAGAAAAGTATTCTTAACAACTGGAAGAACCTCATTTTTTCCAGAACAAGTACATCAAAGTAAATGGTTCTAGCTCAACCAGTAACATATTAGTGTCAACATAAATATGAGGCTAGCAATGAAGAACGTACCAAACCATGAAGAGAAAAAATCTGAACACAATCAATAGATGCTATTCCAACAATAAGCACATTCAGCATTGGAGCATAGCCTATCAAATGACTTTCACATCCAGAGTAATCTTTGGGAACTGGAGGAGAAAGTAACCTAGTAATATA